AGAACTGCAAGGACCGGCACCCTCAGTGCATCCTACAATTCTGCCTGCCGCTGAAATCGCTACAGATTTACACCCAGACCAAGCACAGCATACTGTTTCTTACGCTTCTCATCCAAAGACAAGAAACACCATGCAGTTTCCACATCTCGCCGTGTTGGAAACAGCTGTCTCTGGAGGATTTTTCTAGCCCACTCTACGAAGTGCCTTCACAATCCTTAATTCCGCGCGAGGAAGGAAGGATCATTTCGGTCGCCGGGACTGGGGACTGCAGCTCTCCGGGTAAGGTGCCTTGCGGGGGCTCACAGCCACTGCCCGAGGCCAGGCACGGAGCTGCGCCCAAAGCTCCGCAATCCAGCCCGTGTTTTTCTCCCCCTTTCTCACCTCATGGTTTGAATTCTAATATTTAGGACACGTGATACAGAGGTGTGTCTTTTTGTACCAGGAGCCGGGGAGGGAGAAGCTTCTTTTGATTAAAAATACAGAACCCATCCTGTGTCCGAGGACCAGCTGTACAAGTGTACTTACAAGTAGACTTTCCGTGGGTTTTCTCACAATTTGGACAATGATAGATGTCGATATCTGGAGCCTCTTCTTCTTCAACACCCACACAGCTGGAATACATGAAGGCAAATATTACATTAGCTTGAGTCCATCTCTAAACATGCAAGCACGCAATTAGTAACGAAAAAACCCAAACCCCAACAAGCTGTGCATTGACTCTGCAGCTACGCTGACTGCTAGCGGCTGCATCAAAGCACAGCTGAGGTGCTTTTCCCAGCAGTGCTGTCCCACTGGATTGTTTCCTGATGTGGTGCTCAAAAAGGCGTCAGTCAGAAGCCCACTGTGGACCTCCACTAAAATGCGGCAGAGAGTCCCGAAGAATTTTTTTTCCCAGAGAGACCATTTTGTCTCTACATAAAGTTCTCCACGCACCATCCCACATAAACCGAATTAACAAAACACATCTTCTTTACCAAGCATGTATGGACAGCTGCTAGGTACCAGAGTCATCTTGGCAATGTATACCATATGCAAGACTTCCATAGGTTCCATCTCTATTACCATATATGAAGACGAGGAGGAAAAGCAGACACGTAGCTCACAGCACTTCTGGCTGCCAAGAAGACGAGCTGTATCGTGGCAGCTCCTTGGAACACCCACCGAGATTATTTTGGATGGCACAACACACGCAACAGTACAGCGCAGCCTGCGGGCACGCCGCGTGAACGCGGCCCAACGGCAGAACACAGCGCTGGGGAAAAACAAAACCAAACTGCAAAGGAACGAAGCACCCAAGACAAGAAGTTGTTGCGTAGTCGAAGCGCCGAGCAGCCGGATGATCAAACTGCAGAACGGCACTGTTCTGCCGACGGAGGAGAAGCAAACGGGATTCTGCTCCTGCTTGCTCGGTCTGGAGTAGCCCGGCCGCAAGGCACATTTGCGGCACAGAAAATAAAGAGTTTCAGCTGCGAAATACAGCCCTCGTGTCACGGCTCCACGAGAGCTCAGCCAGCAAGAGGATCCACGAGAGGCCACAAAGGTGGCTTCACCCCAGCCACCTGCACAAACCAGGCTCGATCACGCGCGGTCAGAGTGCTCCTGCAGCTCCTCTACCGCACCGCCCGAGATGCCTTCTCAGGGCTCTGCAGGCGGCAGAGAACACCGACCCATCCCTTCTGCCAGAGACAGGCGCTGGGCACGGGCCATGGCAACGCCATCTCCACGCACATGGTAGCATTCTGCCTCCTTGCACCCCACCGGCAGCGCAACGTGGCGATCAGTGCAGGAGGACAAATTCTGCAGGTTTAGCTCCTGGTTGTGACACGTCAGGAGCAGAGGAGAGGATGTTTGCTCCTCTCCCCCAGGCAAGGCAACGGGACGGGACAGTTCTGCAGGCCACTTACAGAATCTCTCAAATCATTCTCACTGCGTTCAAGCTCTTCAGGACAATACCAAAGTGCCCAAAATTACAAACAAGTTAAATAACTACAGAAATTCACGTAGGCTGGTGACACCAGCAATCACGAATCGTGACGGTCGAGGCGCGGGACGGCTCTGAACTCCTGGTGGCCGGCAGCCAGGAAGGTGCATGGACAGCAGAAGGATAACGCGTGGCCACGCACGCCCACCTCTGCCACGCTTCCTGAAGCCTTGCAAGTCGCTGGCGTTGCGAACCAGCTACCTGGCCCCGTGGAGCTCAGAGCTCTCAGGATGACTTTGGTGGGGGGGTGCATGTGGGTGCACGAGCATGGCGTACGTGAGCACACACGCGGACGCGCGCACGCCTGGGGCAGGAGGAGTCACGGCTAAGTGCCCTGTGACCCTCTCCGTTTACATAGGTGGGCTTGAAACCACGTTTGAACCCGGGGCACACAGCGATGTGTAACCATACGCATCATGGTTACAAGCCACAAATCTACCTGCTTTCCTACAAGAGCATCAACAAAACCCGTAGTGAGTCCACAGCCAAGCTGGAAAAAGCCAAACTAGCTAAGATAGGGAAACAAATCTTTGCTACAACCACTGTAAATGCTTTGTCAAAATACGATTCTGCCAGAAACCTTTGTGGGTATTTTCACCCCGCTGCAGCTGCCAGCGTGCGTACGGGACCCAGCTCCCTCAAACCACAGAGCACAGGGGGAGAGAAGCTTTGCAACCGAAGCCAGAGAAACTCTCATTTTTGCGAGTTCAGCCTGCGAACAGGCTGGCACACAGGACACGATTTCGGAATCGTGTAAAAGCAACGGCAGATTTGGCTGATTTTTTTTTTTCTCCCCTCAAACAGTTACTTGAAAAAATACAAAACTATTTGGTCTCCCTGGGCAGACAGCATGGAAAACTGAAGAGTAAGTCTGCAGACAGGAAAAATCATCACAACAATCCAATCCTCACAGTCAAGTACGTACAGGCAGTAAAATACCAGATTAAGCAGCAGAAAATTTAAACAAACCCTGGCAGATTAGAGCAAGCATCAGAGAACGTAGAGGATTCCTCTACCCATAAAGCAGCGTCAGCTGCTTATGCCACTGGATTCAGCTTGTTAAGCTCAGTAAAGGTATAGATTAGGCTCTACAGAAGGGCTTGAAAAGTCTATATTTAGCTAAACTACGGAGCTGAGACCGTGTGTGGATTGCTGCGGGAGGAGGTATGAAATGGCACCGCACTGGGCGAAGGCTGCAGTGTGGTGGGAGCTATTGTTCGAGAGCAAGTAAAAATATTTAACCAGAACAAAACGGAAAAGCAAAAATAACTGACCTCAAACTCAAACGGTCCTCTAAGAGATGCAGTCAACTTTTCCAACTGCAGCATGGCTTTGAGTAAGGTTTAGGCCGCTTACAGCTACTCGTAGGCAGAAGCTGGTGTCCTCACTGCCTGTGAAACTGCAAGTACAAACTGCCCGAGAGCTGGCCCGACTGACACGCCTTGGGTGATCTTTAACAAAAATATGAACCAGTTCCAGTTTGTGCCCCTTCTCTCAAAGAACAGAGCTTGACTCGCCAGGTATTTCCACCAGCAGCACCGTCTGTGGGCTTCCACACGAATGCAGGCATCCCGAACTGAATTCCCACAGCAGAGACAACCCCTCAAGAAGGTTTCTGCCAGAAGAGGACCGAGGACGTCTCGCTGAGTGTATGGGTTTTATGGGGTTTATAGCTACGGTTTTGGTAGCCGGGGGCCGTCACCTCTGCAGCAGTGACCTACCCTTGGGTTGGTCTCCAGAACATTTGCAGCCGTGAATGAGAACCAGGAGGAGATTGCCAGCCTTGGCAGCAGTCAGCACAGAGTCCTGAAGCGGCCTCCTGCCTAATTCACAAACGTGTTTTTTCTCGAGAGTGATTAATTAACAACAGAACAGAATCACAGCACTTCTCCAGCTGAAGAAAACCAAGTCATCTATAGCAGCTGAACAGTGCTGCCCTTCCCTTCAACGCCCCAGATTCGAACAGAAATGGTGCTTTCTGTTTTGCATTTATTTTTTCTTTCATGAGAACGCTCCACTTCGGTCCCTCCACTTTCTTTTTTCAGCCCCATTTGCCTGAGAGAGACAGAAACACAAGAAGGCCGGAGCCAAGCGTTCGACC